GGAGGCTGGTGGACAGGAGGAGGGTGGTGGACAAGAGGAGGGTGGTGGACAGAGGGAGGCTGGTGGACAGGAGGAGGGTGGTGGACAGACAGAGGCTGGTGGACTGGAGGAGGGTGGTGGACAGAGGGAGGCTGTGGACAGGAGGAGGCTGATGGTACCGGAATCTCTCTTCAACCACTCGAAAGCTGGCACATGACATTTTGTAAAATGAGGCAAGCTCCCTGCCATTTGTTCTTTCTGAAGGAACTAAAACAAGCTATGAATGTGTTAAGCATGAGGATGTGGAGCTCGTTTCCTGGGCATCACTGTACATGCCCACAGGTACTGGCCTTGGTGTGGGGCCTGAGAACGTGCATGTCTGCCAGGTTCCCTGATGCACCTGGCTCCACTGGGGGCCATCTTCTCTCCAGCTTACTCTACCTGGCGCCTCTCAAAGTCCACCCCACCCACCGGAAGACTTAGAATTCTGCTAGAGAGAATTCTCTATTCTAAGCAGGACTGCTTAGAGAGAAAAGGTGCCGTGCAGGCTCCCAAGCTCCCTGTCCTTGTCAGCCCCCCCCCCCAGACACAGAAGTTTTTTTATTTGAAGGATTATCTTACTATGATAAGGAACACAAGTTACCACCTCCCACACTCTAGAGTCCATTTCCCTTTCAAGGTCTAACTACAAATCCTGCGGACTCCTGTCTGCTTTTATTGCCGAGGACGAGGCTCACCAGCCTCTGTAGCCTCGAGCTTGTCCCCAAACCCCGCATTAAAGGACAGTTTCCTCGCTCCATGTGGGGCTCACTTCCAGTATGCAGAGGGCAGAAGAGACACTTCAAGCAGTCAGAGGGTGACCTTTGCCTTAGGTGAATGCTTTGCATTTTGAGCATCATTGACAGAGACACACAAGAGAAGGACCCAGGAGCACAGAGAGCTTCTTGGGCAGGTGAACTCATGGCGGGGAAAGGGGGAGTGTTGGGGATTGCAACCCCATTCCTCAGTGGCTCTTGCTCTGTCCCAGAACCTGGGCAACAACGATTCCAGGGTCAGAGAAATCTGCACTGCGCAAGGATGGGGATCCCTGGCCTGAGAAGAGAACCCCATTTGAGGCAGCGCAAGTTAGACTACTTAAAGAAAACACACATTTTTTGAAGATTTACTTATTTATGCATATAGATTGGGTACAGGCCAGAGTGCAGGGGTGGTGAGAGGATTCACCAAAAACAGAGTGGGAGCTGAACAGGAAGATGGATAAAGCATACTGCTGAGGGGAGCAGCGGGCGGGTCAGGGGAGGTCTGCCACGCCCTGTGGTCACCTCTCTGGCTGGGGATGGACCTCCAGCTGAAGCGGCTGCAGCAAGCTTCATAGTGCTGCATTTTAACTGGATGCATCACCATGGAGGGCCCCAGAAAACACATTTTTAAAGACACTGTTACCTACGCTCTCACAGCTCTACAGTGCAAATAGGTAGGCACGTCAGGTGCAACTAGATGACCTGGCCTGTTCTAAGAATCCCCAGAGCTCAGCGGGACTGGCTTCCCGGGGCATGCATGAGGCAAAGCCTCAACAGGGGACTTGTGATCACGTGGGGCAGGAAGACCGGGCACTGGCAAGGGAGGAACCCAGCGGCCAGAAAGCAGCAGATGTTTGGTGCTGCTTTATGGGACGTGATCAGGACTGGCGTGCCAATGGGAGCAGCATTCCCTCTTAGGAAAATGTAACAGAAACGTCTTGGAAGCAAAAGAGGCTGCTGGGAAAGAAGTTCATCTGAGACAGACTGTTGCTATTTTGGTGTTTGTTTTAGTCAGCTGAAAGTTCATACCAGCAATGAGCGACTACATGCTTCTTTCAAACCTTTTGGCTCCTGGAGATTCTATTTCACATTTGACAGCTAGAAGCCTGCTTGGATTACAGTTCCCAGAATGTGGGTAGTCCTAGCTCTAGCAAGTTCCGAACCCTCACAGGCTTTCACCCCATCTATTTTAAAAATATTCTTCAGATGATCAGTTTCTCCCTGTTGGATTCTTTTTACAATGTGATGAGAGTCACAGATTGGCCATTCTTCCCACTGTTGAAGATAGTTCTCAAAAATTTGGCTGTAGAGGTCCTTAAAAGTTATCATCTACTTAAGGGTGTGTTTCGAGAAAATGATGTGCTGCATTTTATAGTGAACTCTTTAACAGAGGTTGCCCTGTAAGAAGGGGGAGGTGAACACCGTCAACTGTATTTTTTATTTGCTACTTAGTAAAATGCTGATCAAAGCAACATTTTGACAGATATCTATCGCATCTGAAAATTTTTAAATGAGGAACTTGGATTTTTAAAAAAGATTTATTTATTTATTTATTTACAGAACTGGGGTACAGGCCAGAGGTGTGGGTGGTGAGAGGCTTCACCAGAGACAGAGTGGGAGCAGAACAGGCAGATTGACGAAGTACACTGCTGAGGGGAGCTGAGGGAGCTGAGGGGAGCAGCGGGTGGATGAGGAGAAGTCTGCCGCGCCCTGGGGGTCCCCTCCTGGCCTGTGAGGGAAGGCGAGCTGCAGTGGCTTCGGAGAGCTTTCTAATGCGGTGCTTTAACCTGTTGCACCACCAGGGAGAACCCTGAACTTGCATTATTTTTAGGAAAAGACAAAAAGGGAAGAAAAACTAGAGGGAACATACTTTCAAAGTGTCTCACCTTACTTAAAAGTTGGGTTTCGATTTGAAATAGAAATATTTTGTAGGTTTCAGAGTAAGTCATCAAAGTCTTCAGCAGGATACCCGCCATCCTGGGCTGCCTGGGAGCCCACGGTATTTGCGTCCGCCAGCTGCTGCCGTCAGAGCTCCGCGAATCCTCCCCGTGTCTGCTCTGGGCCCCAGAGTCAGAGCTGCTCTGGCAGGCGCTGCAGTCAATATGGTGTAATAAAGACGGCGAGTTGGGGATAATTCCTCTTGAGTAAGCTGGGTGACACTTCCAAACCTGGGTCTCATGACTCACTTCCGGCGCCTCGTCACTTAGCTCTCAGAAACACGGTCCGTAACGTCCCACCTGATGAATTAGCCTGTCTTCATCGCCGTAAGTGACACTTGCCATGACCGTTTCCTTCCGTTCCATTTTTCTTCATGCTGGAATCTTTCCTCTCCCTTTCAGCCATGGGTTGAATTGCTGCTACCCACTGTTACTGTGGCTGCTGGGTCCCAACAGCTTTCCAAGGCTATTACATGGCATAGCCACGAGTAAGCTCTTAGGAGAGCGGATGCACATGTTCTCCTTGCACTGTGCTCCCGTCGCTCCACGAAGGACCAGTGTGGTCACATATGTTGAACATTTTATACCATGAATTGTCAAGCATCCTGCCAGTGTAAAGTAAAGCACATTATTTTTAGCTTCTGTGCATCAGTCATAGAAAAAATGCTTCACATTGCCAGCGATAAAATAAACCCCATCTCTGCATTCTCGTTCTGCCGGGCTTTCATGCTTCCCTCACATTTACTATTAGGAGCTGTGACATCAGCCACTTGGGGCGTTAATGCTGTCTGACATAAGCCTGCCTTCGTCACCGAGCATGAGCGTTGCCCTCACCGCTTTCCTTCTTTCCATTTTCCTTTGGAAAATGTATTTTGCTTATTTTTATTAATGATCTTTTCCTATGCGGATGTGCCCAAAATGATAAACTACAAAAATGACTAAAAGCACAGAGGTTGACAGTGGCTACGTAATGCAAACCTTCTTGGTCAGGTTCTATGTCTACACTGATTTTAGCTTCATTCCTTCAGGAGTGTTAACCGAGCACCTCTTATGGGCTTAGGTGATGAATTTACTGTGGTGAGGTAAAGCCTTGGCTTCTTGGAGCTTGGAGTCCTATGACCCTTAGTTTTCTGAGTCTTTCAGAAAAGAATAGTTTTTGTTTCAGCCTTTTCATTTCTTGCTTATGAAATCTGTAGCACTCCAGGCCTCTCTGAATGCCAACCAGTGTTGTATAGCAGGTTCTCAAATGACATCCTCTGTTTCATGTTGTTCACTATAATATTGATGAGGAAAAAAACAACTGATTCCAGCTGGGGCCACTGTGTGCAGTTGGCACGTCCCCCAGGTCGGCATGGGTTTTCTCCAGGGGCTCTAAGACCCCCAGTCCCAAAGATGAGCAAGTTGGGCTCAGTCACACATCCACACAGTG